GAGGTACCCTGTTCTCAGTGTGAGTTACCTTGTCCTCAGCTTGAGGAACCTTGTCCGCAGCGGGAGGAACCTTGTCCTCAGCGTGAAGAACCTTGTCCTCAGTGTGAGGTACCTTGTCTTCAGTGTGAGGTACCTTGTCCTCAGCTTGAGGATCCTTGTCCTCAGCGTGAGGAACCTTGTCTTCAGTGTGAGGTGCCTTGTCCTCAGTGTGAGGTACCTTGTCCTCAGCGTGAGGAACCTTCTCCTCAGCTTGAGGAACCTTGTCCTCAGCGTGAGGAACCTTGTCTTCAGTGTGAGGAACCTTGTCCTCAGGTCGAGGTACCTTGTCCTTAGCGTGAGGAACCGTTCCTCAGAGTGAGCAACCTTGTCCTCAGCGTAAGGAACTTGTCCTCAGCGTGAGGTACCTTGTCCTCAGTGTGAGTTACCTTGTCTTCAGCTTGAGGAACCTTTTCCTCAGCGTGATATACGTTGTCCTCAGCGTGAGGATCCTTGTCCTCAGCGTGAGGAACCTTGCCCTCGGCGAGATGATCCTTGTCCTCAGTGTGAGGTACCTTGTCCTCAATGTGAGGTATCTTGTCCTCAGCTTGAGGAACCTTGTCCCCAGTGTGAAGTACTTTGTCCTCAGTGTGAGGAACCTTGTCGTCAGCGTGAGGAACCTTGTCCTCAGCGTGAGGAACCTTGTCCTCAGTGTGAGATACCTTGTCCTCAGCGTGAGGTACCTTGACCTCAGCGTGAGGAACCTTGTCCTCAGGTTGAGATACCTTGTCCTCAGCGTGAGGATCCTGTTCCTCAGCATGAGGAACCTTGTCCTCAGGTCGAGGTACCTTGTCCTTAGCGTGAGGAACCGTTCCTCAGAGTGAGGAACCTTGTCGTCAGCGTAAGGACCTTGTCCTCAGTGTGAGGAACCTTGTCCTCAGCGTGAGAAATCTTGTCCTCAGGGTGAGGAACCTTGTGCTCAGCTTGAGCGACCTTGTCATCAGTGTGAGGTACACTAAATCTCGGCAAAAGACAAGATATGTTCGCAATTTCAAAAGATTCAATGCCAATAATTTTCTTAATGATCTTTCCCAGATGCCCTGGGAAAATGTGGCGCTTTATGATAACACAAATATTTGTTGGCTGGTATGGAGATCCCTTTTCCTACACGTCCTTGATTGGCATGCGCCCCTAAGACTGATGAGACTTAGAGGAAATTCTATTCCTTGGATTTCCCCTGATATCAAAAATCTGATGAGGGTTAGGGTCTCTTACAAGAAAAAGGCTGTTAAAAATAATTCCCAGATTCACTGGGAGAAATTCAAAGAAATACGTAACAAAGTCAATTCAGAACTAACTAAAGCTAAAACAGCATTTTTCTGTAACAAATTTGAGAACTGCGCACAATCGAAAGATATGAAACATAGTTGGAAGTTAATTAATATTCTCTTAGGTAAAAATAAAAAATCAAATAATATCTCTCAACTGAAATGTGATGATGTTGTGATTTCAGATGATACTCTGAAAGCTGAGGCGTTTAATGACTTCTTTGTTAACATCGGGGTAAATTTGGCTAATGAAATTGAGAACGATTCTCTATGTACGAACTTTCCAGATGATGAAAATTACCACTCTAACTATTACTCTAATATAAATTTTAAGTTTTCTGAAATTAGTATGGATGATATTATTTGTCAATTACGTAATCTTAAAATTTCAAAGTCTACCGGTATTGATAACATCCCTGCTATAGCTCTTAAATTGTCCGCGGAAGTTATTGGTCCTTCATTAACATGGATTTATAATCTTTCAATCAAAACTGGGATATATGTTGATGAATGGAAAAAGGCATGGGTAATGCCAATTTTTAAATCTGATGATAGACAAAGATGTGAAAATTACCGACCGATATCTATATTGCCTATTGTCAGTAAAATACTAGAGAGATCGGTTTTCAACCAGATTTATAAGTTTTTGAATGATAATTCGCTGCTATCTAAACATCAATCTGGCTTTCGGCCTAAGCATTCAACTTTAACAACACTCATTCAAATGTGTGACACACTTCATGAGAACATGGATAATGGTCAGTTGAGTGGTGTTGTTTTCATTGATATTAGAAAAGCTTTTGATTCTATTGACCATACAATCTTATTGCAAAAGTTGAATGCTCACTTTGGAATAAAAAATGTGGAACTGGATTGGTTTAAGTCCTATCTAACTAATAGAGAGCAAGCATGCATTGTCAACGGTGCAATGTGATCACCTAAAGCGATTGTGTGCGGTGTTCCGCAGGGATCAATTCTTGGTCCCTTGCTGTTTTTATTATATATTAATGATTGACCCGAATGCCTCGAAAAAACTGCGCCACACCTATACGCTGATGATACTCAAATTTCTACTTCTGCCAAAACTATTGAGGAACTACTGAAAATCTAAATAATGACCCGAAATAAGTCGGTGAGTGGCTTGCTCGAAATAAACTGCAACACCACCCAACTAAGACCAAATTAATGTTTATCGGTTCAAAGTATAATACTGATACTATGACTTATGATATTCCAGTAATGATGAATAACCAATTCATAACTCTTGCTCATTCATACACATGCCTTGGGGTTAAACTTGATGAAAACCTTAATTGGCATGAGCATGTTGAAATGATTTGTAAGAAAGTTGGGGCCGGCATAGGAGCAATGCAACGAATTAAGCCATATGTTTGTATAAATACACTGCATACCATTTACAGAGCTTTGATAGAACCGTATTTTGATTATTGTAGTCCATTATGGGACGTCTGTAACCAACAGCTGAAAGATAAGCTTCAAAAGTTCCAAAACCGTGCAGCGAGAATTATAACCGGCGCCAGCTATGAAATAACGTCTGCTGATGTTCTTCGATCCCTTGCTTGGGAAAATTTAGAGATAAGACAACGTACAACTAAATCCACATTAATGTATAAAGTCCTAAATGATTGCGCTGGGCCGAACTTGAAGGATGCTCTAATGAGAAGGGACCTTGTCCAAACCAGTTATAATCTACGCAATACTTATACTGACCTTACCCTTGCTAAGCCAAAACGAGAATTTCTAAAAAAAAGCTTTAAGTATAGGGGAGCTAAATTGTGGAATAGTCTTCCTTCTGATGCGAAGCTAGCGCAATCAATTTATTCTTTTAAAAACTGCCTGAAAGATTCACGCTAACATCTTCTAATAAACTGTATATGCATGCCTTAGAAATATGGGTCACACGGTTTGGAACTTAATTCTTGTGTTGTAAATAGTTGTATATAATTTTTTATTCTTTTCTATATCATATTTGTAATTTTTAATAGTAACAGACGTCCCTCGTGAAAATCAACAAATCGTTGACGAGGCTAACGTCTTTAAATAAAGGTTACATACATACATACATTGTCCTCAGCGTGAGGAACCTTGTCCTCAGCGTGAGGAACCTTGTCCTCAGGGTGAGGAAGGTTGTCCTCATCGTAACGAACCTTGTCCTCAGCGTGAGGAACCTTGTCGTCATCGTGAGGATCCTTGTCCTCAGCGTGAGGAACCTTGTCCTCAGCGTGAGGAACCTTGTCCTCATTGTGAAGAACCTTGTCCTCAGTGTGAGGTACCTTGTCCTCAGCTTGAGGAACCTTGTCCTCAGTGTGAGGAACCTTGTCCTCAGCGTGAGGAACCTTGTCCTCAGCGTGAGGAACCTTGTCCTCAGGTTGAGGAACCTTGTGCTCAGTGTGAGGTAATATAAATAATAATATCCTCGATTTCTATAGCGCACATATCCAAAAGTTCAAGGCGCTTCACAAATAAGAAGTCGATAAAATTATTTACATTTATGTACATGCTGTATACTTAAATAAACTTACAGACCCAGCTATATCAATCAAAAGAAAGATATAGGGAACTATTATTAATAAAAAGTTTAAAAAGATAAGTTTTGAGATCCTTTTTAAAAGTCGATATACAGGATGCCTTTCGCAAACTGTGTGGAAGTTTGTTCCATAGTTTTGGAGCACATACAGCGAAGGATCTGTCACAATAAGTTTTACTTTTGGAAGAAGGCACCAGTAAAAGCTCATTTGCTACTGAGCGGAGGTATCGGGTGGATGTTCGATGTTGCAAGCAACTAGACAAGTAGAGTGGACAAGCTCCGTTCATTGACTTATAAACCAATAGAAGAATTTTAAAAACGATTCGGTAGTGAACAGGAAGCCAATGTAGTTGAATTAAGAGTGGTGTGATATGATCATATTTCCGAGACAAGGTAACAATCCGAGCAGCCGAATTTTGGACTGATTGCAGCTTCGAAAGAAGACGTTTAGGCAAGCCGTACATGAGTGAATTACAGTAGTCAAACTTCGTTGTTATCAAGGCATGGATTATGACCTCCACTGATTTTTTTGTCAAATATTTGCGAATTCTAGAAATATTCCTCAAATGAAAGAACGAGGACTTGCAAACTTTCTTAACATGATCATCATAGGAGAGTGTGTCATCCATAATCACACCAAGATTGGTAGCCGAACCCGAAAAAGGAATCAAGTGATTTCCAACTTTGATTGAATC